TCAAATGACAAAGAAGATAAAAGCTTGGATAAAGCGCTTCACGATTACCAATAGTCACCTCAGAGGAAATTTAAAGAAAATGATTCCGTATTTGCAAGAAGCTACAATCAGCGTGGACCAAAGTGGATTCCTGCTAAAGTCACTAGAATAACCGGGCCGCGGAGCTACCATTTGACAACAAAAGAAGGCATTGAAATACGACGTCATATCGACCAATTGAGACCTCGCTCAGAAATATCAAAAGCATCTCCTCACTCACTCCAGATAATCCTGAATCTCCACCATTCAACCCATATATCCAGAATCCTATTCAGATGAGAACACCAGAAGCACATCATATCACTCCAGTTCAACCACCATCAATGGTCCGCAATCCTATTATGATGACAATACCAGACGTACAACCAATGCGACCATCAGTGATGCAACAATCTCGTAACTCCTTTAGTAGTATAGAAGGATCAATTAACCCTCATCAAGAAGATACTGGTTTCAACGTTTCTGGTTTAGCTGGTCCCAACGTTTCTGATTTAATTCCACTAGATTTAAGACTCCACTAGCTTGAGCACGAGTCCACAACCTGTTCGGTCACCCTAGTAGCACAAATATATATTAAATACATATGAATAAATATATTTAAAATATATTTTATATATCTCAAGTGTGTATTAATGTCAATTTTATATAATATTTAAAATATATTAAATATATAAAAAATATGTTTTTGAATCTATTAAATATTAAAAAATATGTTCCAATAATATATTTTAGTGAATAATATTTAAATAAAAAATGTATTTAATATATCTTCCAAACATCCCATGGGGCCTAAACATAAAAACACAAAATAATAAAGATTTAACATGAAAAACAGAATTATAAGTTGAGTAAATTGATTAAATGGTTCATAAAAACAAATTTTGAAAAAAATACTGGATAAAATTTTTTCAGCCCTAGTGGTTTTCGAACCTGGGTCCTTCGGCTTATGAGCCTCCTACCTTACCTCTGTGCTACTTGTGACTGTTGTTAGAATTAGTTTTCAAATGGTGAAAGAGTGGCCCTCAGTTGCAATGTTGCAATACTTGAAATATTTTTGATACTACAGTATAATATGATTCTGTTAATCTGTTTTGGCATCAAGTAGTTGAGTTGAATAGTGCTGTAGTGAATAGTGAGTAGTCTCCACGAATACAAATACAGTAAACTACAAAAATTAATTTAAATACTATGACAAATATTATGTAATTTATGGCATATGTAAATCAAATAATTATTTTTAGAACGTCATATACAACCGTAATTAGTTTCTTAAAAGGTCGCCAGTAACTAGCACCCTTTTCTAGCCAGTCACTCAAGATTTCTATGATCACATTCGTTGTCACATATTGCAATTATAAAATAAAACCCATCAACACTTTTTTTCGTTTGACCCAAATGTAGCTGTCGAACATGTATACTACCTCTTACCTATATGCTATTTTTTTCTTTACGTGTATGATAGAGTGACACCATTCAGAGTACGTATTATTATTAGCTTAATTTTAACGCTTTCACAATAGCAATCATCATACAAAAAATGCATGTATAAATTGATAAGACACTTTAAAAAACAAAAAGATGCCAATTATTTATTTGCTAATTATAAAAGATTATAGGCTATATATTCTACAAATATATTATTTTATTAATAAAAATATCTGACGTGTTTCAAAATATATTTATAAATAATTTAAATATATAATATAGTTTCAAAAATATTTTATATATATATTTAAAATATTCTCAACACATAATTTTTTTAAATATTTAATAGGAAAAATATACATATAAAATATGTATATTATAGATTCTATACTTGTTTTATCAATATATATATTATGAATCTATTTTATATATTCAAAACTTATATTTAATTTATATTTTGCATTGCTTTTTGGTAATATTTCAAATATATATTTGAATATGTCAAACTATTATTAAAGATATATTATATATATATATTTTATTCGAGGTTCTATCAAATACAACTTTAAATATATAAAATATTTATAAAATACATATTTGTGCTACTAGGGCATTCGTCTCTAGATCAAACTCCCAAAACACTTCAATGAGCATGAGTCCTCGACCTGTTCGGATCCGTCGACCACCGGCATATCTCGAGACTACCTGGGGGGAGGAGTGTTATGTATCAAGAAATAAGTACATATGTTTTATTTATAACATCTGTCAGATGACTGTTTATATTATTATGTTTTGTTTACTTTTTAGTTTAGTCTAATTTGTGAGTTCAATGAATTTGGTTTTGTTAATTATGTTTCAATATACTAAAAAATGAAGCTCCACAGCTTCGAGTATACATATAGAAAAACTATTACAGCTGGTTTGTTTATGTTTATGATGTACAGGGTTAATAAAAAGTCTGGGGACCCCTGTCAATTTTTTAACAGCCCATACTAGAAAAACTTAACTCTGCACATATTTATGGCATGTTATGAAGTACTTTTTGGGCATAACCGCCATTTCGTGTACATCCCCAAAATGGGGGATTTTGGGGGAAACTCAAAATTTTCAAATGGTAAGACCAATCGAGTGACCCCTCATTTTGAAGGTCCTGATAACAAAACCAAAAACGCAAATTAGGGGTCTCTATCTCAACCCAGTAATAAAAGGCAGTCAATTGAAATTCTCAGAAGTGAAATGTAACTTACAGCTTTCCAAGTCTGGAGACACCCTGTAAATTTTGTAATGGCTCACACTAGGAAAACTAAACTCTGCACCCCTTTATGGCATGTTATGAAGTACCTTTTGAGCCTAATTGTTACTTGGATAGTAAACCCAAAATGGGGGATTTGGGGGAAACTCAAAAATTTGAAATGTTTAAGCCCCATCAAGTAACCTCTCATTTTGAAGGCCATTAGTTTAAAAGAATATCGGTGAAAACTAGAGATCTCTATCTCAACCCAATACAAAATAGCGGTAATTTTTAGTTGTCATCAACCTCAGAGACCCTACTTAAAAATGTACATTAATATCCCCTGTCGAAATCGAATTGTACCAGGAAAGCATATCACTTCATAAGAAAAATAGTGTACCCTCTAGATGGTATCAGGTTTCCTTTCTGGGAACCCAAAATTATGCATATTGGGTGGGGCAGATCGAAAATGTTAAATGTAATCCCTGAAAACTAAAAACTGCTGCCATTTTGTACTGGGTTGAGATAGGACCCTCTGGTTTTCGCCGATATTCTTTTAAACTAATGGCCTTTAAAATGAGGTGTCACTTGGTGGAGCTTTACGTTTAAAATATTTGAGCTACCCCAAAAATAATCCATTTTGGGGTTTCGGACAAAGTTGTGATACCTGATGATGTTGTGAAATTCCTGGGGATTGCAGAAAAAAATCGTGAACATCCCCCGTGGGCAATCACGGAGATATCCCACAGCGGCAAAATCGTGAATATATCCCATGAGCCGAAATCACGGCGATATCATCAGCGTCACCCGCCACAGCAGCAAAATCGTGAATATATCCCGTGGGCCGGAATAAGGGCTACATCATCAGGGTCACCCGCCACAGCGTCAAAATAATGAACACCTCCCATGAGCCAAAATCACGGCGATATCATCAGCGTCACCCGCCACAGCGGCAAAATCATAACTATATTCCATGGGCCGGAATCAGGGCTACATCATCAGCGTCACCCGCTGTGGTATGTGGTGCTGATGAGCTCAGTGCGCATGCGCGAGGCCACAGAAGCAACGTTACGTCTGCTCCCGATCGCTCAAGCGATCTGCTGGAGTCAACAGAGTCTGTCTGCGGCTAGGTCTGCGGCGGTGTAACTTGATCCATTTGAAACAACGCTAAACGATCGGCTCAAAAAATCTGAACACATAACATTATGGTGTAGATGGCGGTGTGGCACCGCCTTTAGATGCAGTGAGCATCTAACTGTTCACGGCAGAAGAAAAGAAGAGCAATATTTTAATTACCGTAGCACATGTCATAACATCATGCTTTTTATATTATTGTAAACAAACAAATCCTAATTCTGAAATTACAGTGAGATAAACATATATATAATTGGTGATCTTTGGGTGAGGGGGTGGGTGCTATTGGCATATATTGCTGGGAGGGGGGGGGGATGCAACAAGGCCCCTCTAGAAGAACAGGCCATATGCTGCTTGTTCCATGACGTCACACGTGGATATATTCACTGCCATAGTACCATATCCCATATGTTTTAGGTAAATAATCTGGCTGTTAATGTCTGGCAACTTTAGTACAACTATCCACCACTGCGATGTAGTGTTGTGCTACTTGCGCTGCAGCATGGCCTGTTTTTCTAGGGACCTTGGGGGGTGTCGCTCAATGTACTTAGGCTACCTGTCTGTACCATGCTGAACAATCTTGCTTAACAGTACGAAGACATCCCATCTATATGGATCAGCTGTCGCCAAATTTTTACTAAAAAAGAATGTAGTTGTGTGAGCCAGTCACAGATTGCGCTAGTGTCTAAAACTCTATTTTGTACCTTATTTTTTGTTACTGACATATTTGCTGGGTCATAACAGTTGCTATAGCTCATAATAAGTCATTCCATCAGTTTGACTTTGTAAAATCCATCGTGTAATCGGCAGAAATCAGCAATTTAGATCAGCGCAATCTGTAGGTGGCTCACATCAACTAAGACAAATTTTATTAAAAACCTGACTACAACTTTAATATGGGGATGGAATGTCTAGTTGTTGTTGTTTTAATAGTCAAAGACGGTACCAAATTATTTTTTGTTTTCAGCTGTTAGGAAATATGTTGAGGTAATTTAATATTTTGAGGTAATTTAATATTTTTCAGGACTTTTTAACTCAACCAGTATTATTATTTTGTTTCATTCATCCTAATTTATATGTTTCAGTTTGTGTATAAGTTTCATCCATGTTTCAATAACTTGAACTACATTAAACTTGCTTTACACCAGTATCAATACTATATGCTTTACAGTTCCAGGGGGAATGGTATGAAGTAGAGCGGTCATTCTACATCCTCGAACTAGTCACAGGCTGCACGACCCTCAACTTCACTGCAAGGCCTGACAATGTTTTCAAAGTGGCGATCAAGACGGCCAACAAATGGTAAATGAGAATCATACCTTGCTGTGCTGGCACTTATAGAGCCCAAGTGTGTGACAAAGTTAGTACCTAATACCATAGACTAAGCGTATGCTTTATCTATGCTAATACACTATGTTCATTATTCTGGATGTCTCTCTTCTGCATTAGCAGTTTCTATTATTGCTTTTATTATTGCTAACATATTCATCCAAGGTGATTGAGCTAAGATTGGCTGGCTAAAAACTAAAAACCTTCGTGTATTAGGTTTGTAGGTGAGGCAGAATTTTTGAATAGTGATGGAAAATATTAAAAATCTGTATGAATCAATATCAATATGGCTAATTAGTTAGTCTTTTCTATGGCTGGGTAGCCGGGTGGTTATAGGGCATAGGTCTTGTGTAACAATCAAAAGGTCTCGCCAGTTCGATCCTGAGAAAAGTCAGTAGCTTTTTGATGGACCCAGCTTTTCCTGATCAGTGATCGCTGGGCTTTAAATAAATTCTCCTGACTGATAAAACAGCTAATCTTAGTCAGTAACAAAGCTACACAGATCATCTCTATTCACACCATTCTAGACTCGTCCTTCACTCATATTTGGTTTAAAATACATACCTAGGTGGTGTCCCCATCTTAATGATTGATATATTATGTTCAGCATTGTCAAGTTTAAGTTGAACTATCATCACCAATTCTGTGAAGACTCTTACATGAATACGGTACTACCTTAACCGTAAATGTTAAAAAATAGTGCCATTTAGGATTGATGGCAGACAAACTTAGATGGAATCAGTCATCTTTTGTTACAGATAATATAAGAATACAAATTTTTCCTAATTTTCAATTTCCCATCCTCATTAGAAGATCACTCTAGGTATTACTTATTAACACTTAAAGCTATGATCGTTCAGGTACACACACTATATAGTTTACAATGATGGCATAGCAAAAATGTGTACAGATAGATATTATGCAATCCGAAAAGACAATTCAATGACTCTTAAAGTATCTTATATGTATAAAGGGTGTAGTGAATAAAATCAATCAATAGTCAATGATAAATTCAACTAAACTTACCTCACATGATTTAATTGTTTAATATGTTTATTGTCATATGCTATTAATAAATACTCAGCTTTGTTTATATGCCATTATAATGCAATTCCTTGTTCATAGTTCAGTTTTAAGATCAATAAAACCCTTTATTCTGTTTGTAATTAATCTGGAGTTTTACTTTCATTACACAGGGAGTACATAAAGTCTCGCTTGGTTCTGAAAGATAACAGATAAATTAATAAGATTTCATTTGGTACACTAACACAATAGGCCTAAAAATCTTTTTTTTGAAAGAATTACCAGTTTTCTGTCATATCTTGGGGATTTCTCGCTAGGAATCAGAAGGAAATCTTAAATGTATAGATTGATATACACATCAAATTAAAGGGCATTTTTGTAAAACACAATGCCGCAAACCCGAACTCAAATGGAAAACCGAGTAAAAAATGACAGCTATTAAAAGATTCTATGAATTTTCAGTGCTATTTCAAGGCGGGCTTTCCTGGCTGCCGGGTATACGGCGCAGCGGGGTGCCGTGTTGAACCTGCGGAGTCCGCAGAGCACACAATACACAGTGCTACGTCAGAGTTTTTTCCTAGGAATCGTATGCTGCACCCCGCCAGCGGAGTTCAGACTGCGGGCCGTGCTGACTCATTCTAGAGGAATCTAGGTTGCAGTCCGCAACGGGATAGCGAGGAGTTTGTGTTGTTGTGCAAGTCGTTCCGCACTCCACAAAGTCTTGAAAAAAAAGTCACTCTTTGTCTGCGGTGCGGTATAAAAATTCATTGAACGCCACACCCCTCTCTGGCGTATACCACGCAGGTAGGAAAACACACCTTTAAGCTACCTCCTCTGGTATTTTTGACTCAGTTGTTCTTTTAAGCACAAATTTGTGGCATTGAATTCTATTAATAAAAACCTTTAATTTTATGTGCATATCGACCTATGCTTACTGTTAAGATTTCCTTCTAATTCCTTGGGGACATCATATGACAGAAAACTTCATCTAAAAAGTAATTCGATTTTTAGGTGTCCTGTTGATGTACCAAATCTTATTGATTTATTTTTCCTTATTTTTGTTTTAAAAGGAATGCTCTTAAGCTAGACAGTAGACACTATTCTTGCGATTGGTAGACACCATTTCATCTAATGTTTCCATTGTAGGATCTATCTTCCTGTGTTGTTGACAGGATTTTACTTAGTAAATGTAAGATTCCATTCATTATCAGTAGTCCCTGTAATTCCTCCAATTTCATAATCCTTACTCAATACATTATGGTTATGGAATGGAGCATAATGTAGATGAATGAGTAATGGAATCTATAGTAAATGTAATAAAAAATAACACAGAATGAAAAATGATATCGCACACTTATTTGAAAACTATATTTTTAATGTTTAAATACAAACATGCTATCTAAGCTGTTGTTTTAGGAATGGCAATATAATGATTGGACTGTTGGGAACGGCAACACCCAACCGATATAATCGTGGCGAACTTCAGTTCAAGATAGACTCCAACCTGCCACCGGCCTTAGTGAGAGCTCTGCCAGGAGTGGGCAACTACAAGGTGCTAGGAACAGACTATGACTCCTTCGCTTTGCTCTACTCCTGCTCAGATATGGGGATCTTGCATGCTGGTATGTTTGGGAGGATAAATGAATTTCTTCACTAATTTAATTAGCAACAAAATACTGAAAAACTTTCATAGTCTGATTTTCAGTAGAGAGCGGTTCAGTGGCGTAGCCAGGGGGGGGGGTGAAGATAATACTCTCCCTCCTTGACAAAAGGATTTTGCCGCGATTGCAAAAGATAATTAAGATGTCACCGCCATCGCGGAAGACGATCATTATGTGTCTGTGATTGTGGAAGATGTTAATAATGCCTCCACGATATCAGAAGATGTTCATTATTTTGCCATAATTGCGGAAGATATTCATAATGCCTCCGTGATCGCAGCAGGTGTTCATGATGTCAGATGTTTCCACAATGGCAGATCAATTTTGCAAATTCGTCGCGGTTGCGGGAGAAAATCATTATCTCTGTGATTGCTGAAGATGTTTACAATGTACCTGTGATCAGGGAATGTGTCCATTATACTACCATGGAAGATGTTCATGATGTCCCCATGATAACATGAGATGTTTATGACGTCTCCCTAATATCGGAAGATCTCATAATTTTGTGGTGTGGTCCTATAGCTCCGAATCCAATAGTACCGAAAGCCAAATAAGTCCAATAGTGCCGAATGCAATAGTGCTGATCTCGTTTGATGTTGTTGGACGATTTAAAACTTCTTTCGGCACTGTTGGACGCTATCAAAAACAATTCGGCACTAGTGGATTTAAAAGTGTTTGGGTTCCAATAGTACCGAATTGTTATTCCTTTTCAAAATCGGGTGCAATAGCACCGAATCCAACAGTGCTGAATCATGTTTTTTGTGTCAAATATCACATTCGACGTTGTTGGATTTTAAAATCCAACAGAACCGAAAGAGATTTTTGGCTTTCAGAGCCGAAAGAATGCGGCAACAGTCCATTAGTGTAGAACAATAGAACATTCTCCCCCTTTTCAAATGGGGGGAGTAAGGAGGGGTGATTAAAACAACATGGCGTCGGTGCTCACAGTCCTCGCCCACAGTAGAGTTCCCCACCCCAGCACCTCACAGGAGTGACAGTTGCAACACGCTGCGTTCGACAGCGGGCGGAATCGATTGGGGATGTATGAGGGTTACCAACTCAGCAATTTCTATTAACCACACTACTAGTGTTGATTTGTAGTGAGTGATGATGCCTGGGCTTCTCGGTCTAGTTGTTTTGGCATACACATCGTTTATTCCTCTTATGAACAATACCACAGACTCGGCCTGGATTTGATTTCGTCAATAAACTGTTCAATATTGACTTCAACTCTAGTAGGATCCGTCATATTACATGCACAAAACTTGAAAATTGATTCTCAGAAAAAAAAGCACCTATCACAACGGCAATGGGAAGTGAAATTGGGGAAAGCAAGGCAGTACAGGTAGTTACAGCTAAGTTGGCACTTAACTGATCAATAGAAATTCTCTACTAACATATGTCAAAAACATTTGTCTGCAGTCATGCGGGTAGCATCAACTGTCCTCGCGGCCCGCGTGAAGGCGCTGGAATGGATGAAAACACGGAATGCTGTAATTATGTCCACATTAGTTAAAAGTTAGCATTTTGAACACTTTCACTTTTATAAAATGTCTGCAACATAAATTATTAATAAACATATTACCCATCTATTCTATATATAATTCAGTTTTAAAAATCTTTGTACAACTAAATCTAGAGTTCTACTGGACCGATTTCATTAACTAATGGGTCGTTGGAAAGCTTAAGTCGTGTAGATTTGCAAATAATTATGAAAGTTTGTTTTTGTTATGATTTATGGTGAAAATTTAACAAAAAAACATGTTTTCCATAAGAAATACATTGAAAACGGTGTTTTTCACACTTTTTATTTGGGTGCGAATTTTTGCGGCCTTTTTTGAGTGTTTCCAAAAAGTGTATGGTATCGATTTGTAGGAAATTTTATTCTCTTTCAGAATATCACCTTCCACTATAGTCAATTTCCTCACCATTTAAAAGTTATTTGCAAAAAAGCTAAGCAACCTCCGAATTTATAGTAAAGAGAAAATACTGAGTTAGGGACATTTTTGTTAAACTTTGTACAGCTAAATCTAGACTTCAACTTGACCGATTTTGTTAATTAATGGGTCATTGGAAAGCCCAACTCATGTAGATTTGCAAATAATTATGAAAGTGTGGTTTTATTATATCTTTGTGGTAAAAAAGTAAAATTAACAAAAACACATTAAAAACTGCTTTTTCAAGTTTCTGTTTTCAAGTTTCTATTTGTAGCCAGCTTTTGGCTGCCTTTATTAAGCATTTACAAGAAATGCATAGTAGTTGTTTGTAGTAAATTTTATTCTCTTTCAGAATATCCCATCCACATTGGTCGATTTCCCTACCATTTAAAAGTTATTGGCAATAAGTGATCTCCAAATTTATAGTAGTGAGAAAATACTGAATTAGATATATTTTTTTTAAACTTTGTACAACTAAATCTAGACTTCTACCGGACCGATTTTGGTCATTGGAAAGCCTAATTTGTGTAGATTTGCAAATAATTATGAAAGTTTGATTTTATTAGATATTTGAGGTGAAAAAATTAAAATAAACAATAATAAATTTAAAACTCATTTTTTTCCAAGTTTATATTTGTAGCCAACTTTAGGCTGCCTTTATTGAGTATTTTCAAAAAACACATTATAGTAATTTGTAGGAAATTTTATTCTCTTTCAGAATATCACCTTCCACTTTGGTCGATTTCCTCACCGTTTCAAAGTTATTTGCAAAAACGTTAAGCAACCTCCCAATTTATAGTGGTGAGGAAATACTGAATTAGAAATGTTGTTGTTAAACTTAAACAATTAAATCTACAGTTCTACTGAACCGATTTTATTAAATAATAGGTCATTGGAAAGCCTAATTTGTGTAGATTTGCAAATAATCATAAAAGTTTGATTTTTTAAAAGATTTACTAGGTTAAACCCGTCATAGTCGACAGTTACTGTTGAGGTTGCAAGCAATATCGTTTGACTATAAATTAATGATAAATAACTAATTTTTTTGAACAATTTGTGTTGTACGTCATTTAGCTGTGTGCTTTAGGTACGTCCGATTTTAATAATCTATAAATCAAATGGATGCTGGTATTTCACAGAAGGTTCTTAGGTCAAAACAATTAAATAGAATAACGTAATTCGAATTAAGTAAATATATCTAAAACTAAATTCCATATCCAAGATATAATCAAATTTATATTTTCTGATTGAGCGATACAGTATCTTAAACTTAACTGTTTAAAACTATCAATATCTCAAGTGAAAGCCTATGAAGTATTTTAAGACCAAGACATATTAAAATAACCTAAATAAAAATAGAGTTACGTATCATTGATTGCAGATAAGTACTAAAACGATTGTAATTATTGTTGATTTGTGATTCAGCAGTGTGTTTTAGGTAGTCCGATCTTAATAATCAATAGCTCAAATGAAAGCTGGTATTTCACTAAAGGTTTTTAGACCAAAACATATAGGGGTAACATATAGAACTGCTGGAATACAACTTTAATTGAAGTGAAAAATAAAAATAATAAAATTTAAATTCTTTCAAAATATACGTCAAAATGAATGCCGATGCTTTATGGCAAATCTGGGGTACGTCCATACCTTTAGTTTAAGGCCAAAATTATGAAAATTGGTTGGGTAAAAGAGCCAACCCCACTCGGAAAAGAAAAACCAATAATTTTTATAGACGGCAATAATTGGTTTACCAGTATGCATAATAATTATCTAATGTTATGTGCTTAATCTGTGCCATTAATATTAGTGAGTAAAGTGGTGTATGGATTTCATAACCATTATTTTACTAGAGACCGTTGTATTGAACCACAAGCGGGCACTGTTGCTAGTTTTTAATAACAGACAATATTCTCTACACAGTCTTTGACAGTCCATATTCATTTTATTTGTCTATGGTATTAGTCATCTCCTATTAGTTTAGTATAAATTGAGTCATCGTTTGGAGGCGCCAACCCCGTGAGTCAGCAGCGGAATGTTTGCAGAAAGATCTTTGCCTAGCTTCCACCCACCCTCCGCCTACATGGCTACGCCGTGGCGTGCCAGGCCCAAGTGCCAACTTAGCTGTAACTACCTGTACACAGTGTTGGCTGAGTTTCTTTTGATGAGTTGGCAGCATTTGACAGCGCCATAACGCAATGCACCTAGAGGTGTGCGGCTTCTGCGGCTCGTAGGTGCGCCGTCGTGCATATAGGCAGCCGCAGCGGCGTGCGGTGGCCGCCGCAGAGTATAAAAGCACCCATTTAACTCAATGCACTTACAGGGCCGTCGAACGCAACGGCGTGCGGCGTGCCGCAGAGTATAAAAGGGGCCTAGCTCATCGGGAAGTTAGTTTAAAGTTGATTGCAAAACTGTGCCGAACATACAAGAATGCGAGCTAATTAAAACGTTTAAAAAATAGCTTTATCTCAAAATCCGTCTATGCTTCAATCTCTGTTTGTCTGTATAAGCGAATCACTAGTTAAGAGGCGGTCGGACAGAGATTCTCGGCTGCCGACACTGGCCGTCACTTTAACATGGAGCGCGTATAATAATTCCTCGTTTTCTGGTCTATCCGTGTTACAAAAATTATTTCCCACACTCAAAACATCGTAAATGTATGTAGGATTAAGACTGTACAATATAAAAATCATAATGTTTAATTATAAGCCGGATATAAAATAAATCATTTCTTACATTTCCCATAAGGAATTGCAATACTTTCTGCTAAAATATAAAATGACTGGCACTATAAACAATTCTGGTTCAAACGCCATATTGAAGAGCATATATTCATTAGTGTATTGAGTGTGACAGATTTTTATTTTTCGATGGTTAACATTAAGTTTTGTATTTTTTTGTAAAAGCTTGCAAAAAATCCTTGCTTGCCGACTGAGTACTAGTTCGACGATGTCCCGGCCGATGGCAGCACAGTCGATTGTGGACTGCAGAGCACGTTTTCAAGCCGCGCCAAATACAATTCATTTAAACTGGCCACAGATCTGTTTAAATAAATAAATAACGTTATGTCGTTACATCCCTGATGTGTTATAATGCCAAGGAAATGGTGATATTTAATTCACAGGAATCTAAGAATCTAATATTTTCGGACTGTGTATTTACCGTATGTATTAAAATATTACTGTCATCAGAGATAAAAGTACTTCTACAACACCCGGTTTGATACAAACTATTCATCAATATAAAACAAGTTCCGTTAGAATAAACGTCTCTTTTGGTCATACTTAGTACGTTAATTACAGACTTAGCTGTGTAAAGATAGCTGCTGCAATACACGGTTTGATACAAACTATTTCCCAGAGTGAAAACAAGGTCAAGTGGAACAAAAACATTTTCTGACATACGTGGTATATACGATTTCCAGGAACCAAATCCACCCTCCGGACCAGCACTGCGTCGTAGCCAAGCCGGCTTCTGACTCATGGATTATCTTGGAATTGCGATGTCCCGTTTTAGGTCTATAATATTCGAGCTAAGATAAAACCCCAAGTGCCCATCCGAAATCCTATTTATATATTAGAGGCACAGGATAAGGCAAAATCTAGAAAAAAACAGCCAGAACCAGATTGCAACTTCAAATGGTTTTGAAACGTAAAAATACGACACATAGGACCTACTGTTTTTTTTTTATATTTTTTTATATTTAAATCGTTCCATATATCTATAAAAATAAAATACAGTTTTGTCTGTAGGCCTACATTGCTTAGAATCATGCAGTTTCTGGTTATATTATGTTTCATAGCCTAAGAAAGCCGAAACGAGTCTTATCTCAATTTCTGTCTGTATGTCCATTCTTTCATTCTGTCAGTGACGCCAAAATGTCATTTTACGCGGCCTACTCCTAGAAAACTAGAATACCGATCAAGGTTCAAATAATTTTTCTGTATTTACTGGATTGGTGAGAGTGTCTTATTTGGCTATAAAAACATGGCCCCGCTTCTTTGAAAACAAAATAACAAACCATCAAAAACCCAATTTTGTTCGATTTTTGTCAAATTTTCTTCCAATGTTTACTATTAAATTTTATGAAATAACGATCAGCTATTTGGATTAGTTCTCACTTCTAGCTGTCACATATGATATGTTTACATTAAATACTGTTTACAGTACAAATACCGCAACCATTTCCGATCAAGTTTTGTAAGCACATCCAAACCAAGTGGGATTAAAAACGTTGTGCCTTGCCGGTTTAATTAATCGCAAGTGCAACGATTGTTCTTGAGTTTTGATAACCGGGGAAAAGGCCGTGAATCAGTGTTGTATAGTGCTCAGTGCTGGGAATATACCGATCATCGTTTAGAGATTACGTAATCTTTCAAATAAGAACCCTTTGTTTGGATAAGGGGTTTTTCTTCAAACCGTCATTAATATGTTAACATTAAAAGCTGCTTACAAATAATGCTATTAATGGGAAATAACTTTGATTAAAAAAAAATCCAAAACCAAGGGAGATTAATAACTTCGATACTGTTTGAATAGGTTTGAATAGGCGAAACATGTTGTGAGTTCTACTTACTACAATTGAACTGTTGACGTAAAGGTGCGTACCTCATATTAGTCTAATTAAACAGTTCAGGGGCTACATCATGAATTTTAATTTTACTTCGATACTGATACCAAGATACCACATCAAGTGAAAGATTTTTTGGGCAAACCATAATACATTTTTAAAGCTTTACGTTGTCAACGTATCAATGTTTTGTGGACTGTGTATTGATTTACTTATTTATATATTTGCCAACGGATTTACACCTATTTTACAGTTTGATTAGGATTAGGCCTAAATACGATTATCATAAAACTTGATGACACTATAACAACTTTTAAATAAATAATTTTGTTTGTAATTTGCTTTGGTTAACGCGTAGCAAATCCCCTAATTCAATTCTGTATAATTGTGAGTATGTCTGTTGATGACGCATTAATGTCCTTAATTCTCGGTGTTTCGTGGAAAAGACAAGAGCACCTTTGTAAATTAAAATTTCAACCTGAATAAAGTATGCAGTAGTGAGGTGGATGTAGTAAACTATTTTAAACCAGTGTGAAAGGTAAATTTCAATTACAGGCCTACGTTAGGGCTATGCCTCATAGATCTAAAAGAAATTCCTTCTATCATTAGATATAAAATATGGACTAAGACGATCGGGTGACATCATATTGCGAAGCATTCGTATATTCAGTCTTTTGTAAACATGTTCAGAATTTTTCATAGGTATTTTATTGTAGTTTAATTAGGGACAATATTTGTAGTTTTTTATATAGGTTTGAGCATATACTTTAAAGGTTTTATTTATGCTATTTTAATGTATTATACATTTTTTAACGTTTAACATTTATTTTTACGTGATTTATTGTTTGTAGTTTGTGTACATATACCATTTTATTTTTTACAGTCTACTAAACTGTGAATTTTCTCCGTAACCAATAATTGTACAAAAACACTTTGATACACTGAATTATTTATTTTTTTTTTGCCCTTTAAAAAGGCCTGGAGAGAAATTGGGAAATCTTGTGTTTAGAGGGTCAAAAATTAGAAAAGCCAATTTTTACCCCATAAAACCCCGTTCCCATGGTCCGATCATGCTGCTTCGCGAACTCATTCAAGTTTATCCCGCCTCCCGCCTCACACCTTCAAACAAAATTTCATCAAAATCGGACAAAAATTACTCAAGTTATCGTGTTCACGGACACACATATATATACAAATTTGAACGAATGGTGTTTTTGGCCTCTGGGGACATCAAAATGAAAAAGTAAATCGGTTCCGGGCGTAGGTCTTACCATGCCACTTACGGTAATATTTACCTCATTACCGGGAAATTCGCTAAAATGTATGGGATAGGCCAAGTAGTTACATTATTGAGCCCAGTAGCACTAGTATATTATTTATAATTGAATACATTATCATGTATTTTTATATTAAAATTAAGTGTATAAATCAAAATGTCTTACTAAAAGTGCTGTTTGTATCTCCAAAACATTTTTTGTGTGGAAAATTAGCATATTGTGCGGTGACGAACTGAGACCTGCTGAGACGCAAAGGGTGGGTGAGCGAAGGTAGCAAACCAGTGAAAGTGAAACATGCGGTGGGACAATAGACAAGGGCTAGGACACAGGCTGAGGGTAGTCGAGTTGATGCTTTCAAGTTTCTAGGTAACACAGGGTTGTCAACAATCTCAGATCCCGTTATGCGACAGCCACGAAACTGGTGACCAAGGGTGGTACTATTACAAAATTCTGTTATGGGAGGACTGTGTTGTTGCTCGTGACGCCTGCAAAATATGGGATACGGGGCTCTGTCCGACCGCCTCTTAAGGGAGTCACTTATAAACCCATAGTCTTGTTTAAGCTTACAGTACTTTTATCTATACTATAATACGAGTAACGTTTGCGCACATTGATTTCAAAAATGGCTCCTATGACTGATAGAAAATGTCCTACATTTTTTGAAATATCTTAGTTTAAGGAAGAAACGCAAGCCAATGTCCTAAGAAAATTGGTTTACTTGTGGAGGTGGCACCGATGGCCGCGTATGCATTCTTGAAACTTCATTGGGTGTAGATCAGCCAACCGAAAGTCGGCTGGATTGAGTTGTGGGAGAAGATTGGTGGGGTTTCTATTGTTGTGGTAAGGATTTTGTGAGCAAAATCGTGCAAAAACGCCAAAAGAATGTTTCAAACGTCCAATAGAGAGGAAATAATTTAAAGCGTTGCGATTCGGCAGTGTTGGATTTATTTTGATTTTGGAGCTATTGGAGTGATTCTAAATTCGGTACTCTGACACATTTTTAGTGTTTGTTCGATGGTGTTGGATTTTAAAATAAATATTTCGGCTTTTTTACACAAACATCTCTTTCAGCTCTATTGGAATTTAAAATCCAACAACGTCGAACGTGACATTTGGCAAATTTGGACTAAAAACATGATTCGGCACTATTGGATTCAGTGCTATGGCACCTTCCCTGATTTTGCCTCCCGCGATAATTATAGTCTATGTTATTCTCTTCCTTTCTTAAGTACTAAACTCAAAATAATTAAAAATACTACAGAGTACAGTAGGCCTACTCATGATTACGAGGATGTCCTCAGACCCCCCCCCCCCCCCCCCCCGCGGTCTGATATGTAAAACACATTCCTGGCTACTCTACTGGGGAGACTATGTATAGCAAGGTCATAACAATTAATTATTAATTGTTCTTGAGATTTTAAATATTATTTAAAACAACAAAATACAAAATACAAGCAGCCAAAAGCTTGCCGTAAAGGTGGAAACGGAGAGACTCCATTCTTCACTGTCTCCTGTACAAAATTAAGCTGCACTTATTTTTCCAGATCTACTCTGGGTTTTGGCTCGTGCTAAGGAGCTACCAGTGACGTCTCGAGTGCAAGTGTACGACATCATGAGTACTCTCAACATCGACCCAGCGCGGCTCACGCTAACCAAGCATAATAAATGTCCACAATTCTAACCTATCCCATCCTCTCTGATCTTGCCAATTGAAATGTCTCTTTGTGAAGTGTTATGTGGTAATACTTGAGATTAGGTAAATTTACAACAGTTTAATTAATTTTTAAACATAAACTTTTGTTTGGTGAAACTTGTGCTTGAAATACTGTGTATTTTATCAACAGATATACTACATAAAGGTGGTATGCTGCTGAGTATTTTCACTGTAGCCATTGATAATGATATAGATAACCAGATTTTGCTAGGTTTCGCCCAAAGAGAATGTGGTTGGATGAGCCTCTCATGCAGTGTGTTATTTTCAAAGCTCTGTTTTCTCAAAAAAGGTTTTGTTTCTAATCAAATTAGAGACAGGCAAAATTATATACCACTGGATGGTAAAGAATAAGAAGTACATATTACCAAAAGCCCCAAAATTTCCCCCAGTGCTTTCAATGTCGTAATCGGCACCCTCTTCCGACATATATTGCAGTAAATGCCATAACGCCCCTCCGCTGCATCTCCAACGATACGGCTTGCAGCATTCTTATTTTATTCATTTTACTGCCCTAAAGGCAAAAAGTTTTCTTTTGCAATAGCACATCTCATTAAATCAGTAATAACGTCCAGACATCTATTGGTTGAATTTGATATAGTTGGGCGAAAGAGAGCCAAGAGCTTGGGAAAGCACCAAGTAGCATGTCACCCACCGAGCGCTCAGACTATCGTCTATTTAGGCTACACTACCCCCCACATTTACATCAGAATCCTAGACTTATATATAGTATGTGTTTGTAAGAAAACGCTTTACAACCCATAAACAAACTATTTCTTGAATTTCTCACAAATAAATTAAATACAGTAGAAAGTCCAAAATAAGAGTTTCAATATTTTCACAATTTCATCAATTATACTAAAATCACGGGAAAACTATTAGATTTACAATAAACATGTATACGGTATTATTTGTAGGAAATTTAGTTCTAAAGACAACAAGCGATTATTTTACCACATTAAACAACTCGTACATAAACTAGACACATTTTAGTAAAACCATGCAAATGCTGACTTTGAGGGGTGATGGGGGGAAAGCACCGGAGGGAATTTTAGGGACTTTTGGGAAAATGTATATCTAGTTAGTTGGGTACTAACAATGGTATATGGTTTTGCCTGTCGCTAATTTGTTTCGACAGAAAACCTTTATTGACTGGGCTATTAAGGGGGCTTTTGGTAAAATGTACATCTTTTTCTGTAATACCCAGTGGTACCTATATAGTTTTATTATTAAAATCCATTTTTAGCCCCTGAGCTTTGATAGTAATTAAAAATAGGTATTTACCTTTGTCTACAGCTCAAACTGTTGTTACTTGAGTTACGGCCGTTTCGGCATTATAATGCCATCGTCAGACGTGGAACATTCAACTGAAGTAGCGTTGTCATAGTTAAAACACATAACACGAACAACATTTTTATCATGTGTTGTTGTAAAAATGTTGTTAAAATGTTGTTCGTGTTATGTGTTTTAACTATGACGACGCTACTTCAGTTGAATGTTCCACGTCTGACAATGGCATTATAATGAATGTGAATTTTTTAGGTATAACTGTCAATGAAAATCTTAACTGGAAATCACAAGTTGTTAATTTGATCAAACGATTAAACCGCTGTATTTTCTCTCTTCGTGCAATCAGACAAGCTGTTGACTTGAAGACTCAGCTTATAGTTTATCATGCTTATTTTTCTTCAATAATGACATATGGTATTCTGGTTTGGGGAAACTCATGCCACTCCAACAAAATATTCAAACTTCAACAAAAACAATTAGAATTATTGGGCGAGTTCCTTGTAGAACTCCTTGTAAAAGTCTTTTTCAAACATTTTCGGTTTTAACATTTTATGATCACTATATTTTAGAAATTTCAAATTGGGTTAAAGACAATCTCTCCTCATTCATGAACCAACCCATTCATTCCCACCACACTAGATTTAAGAGTTATATTAAGCCTGAAACCCATAGATTAGAGAAATTTCATTTATCTCCCCAATATATAGGCCCACAAGTTTACAATAAGTTACCACTCCGCATAAAAAATATTGATAGTAAAACACAGTTCAGATCCACCCTGAAGACCTGGTTAAAAACAAAAAAATTTTTTTCTATAGAATGTTATTTAAATAGGGACGTTAAGTTAGATTAATAATTTAGTAAGACATTTTTGTTATTTCTTAGTTTTAGTATATCCTGTATATGACTTTATGTCCTGTCTGAAAATGATGTAATGACATGTAGTAAATAAATAAATAAATGCCAAAATGGCCATAACTCAAGTTACAACAGTTTGAGCTGTAGACGAAGGTAAATACCTATCATATAGTTCATATAGTCATAATCATATAGTTTTGCCTGTCTCTAATTTGTTCCGACATTGCTGGTTGTTTTTGTGTCTTTATTGACTGGAGCTCATCACTCAATAGTTGATGGGGACATATAGGATGTTTTAGTTTGCAATAAGTTGCACCATTGACTATTGGATACTGGTGAAATGTTTTGCAACATTTACAAGTTGCTATTAATAAGAACGGAAAGTAAATAAAAGAAACGTCTTATAACACTTAAAACATATATTTACGCTTATACTGTTACTCACAAGACGGTAAATATACAAAAAAGATGGTAAGTGGTGATCGATTTCGATTGGACACTCCAATCATCATCAGACCCAATAGGTGAAATTTCATCTATTGGGTCTGATGATGATTGGAGTGTCCAATCAAAATCGATCACCACTTACCATCTTTTTTGTATATTTACCGTCTTGTGAGTAACAGTATAAGCGTAAATATATGTTTTAAGTGTTATAAGACGTTTCTTTTATTTACTTTCCGTAAATTTAATAACACGTACAATGCTGATCAAGAAGTTATTTATTAATAAGAAAGCAGAATTTTACAGCAGCATACTCTCTATCAGTGGCTTAATTGAGCAAAGTAGTTTTAAATTTTTAAACTGGTTACAACATAAAAATGAGTATGGAATGTCTACTTCACAGTAGTGCAACATCCACAGTTGCAACAATAACACTTTAAACAAACAAACGACAAAATTATTTTTTTGACAAATACAAAATGTAACAAAAAAGTTGTCAATATCCAACAAGATAATTCCTTGAGCTTAAAAATAACAAAAATGCAAAAATAAGAGAAGATATACACAATGCTGCTAGTGATACTGTTACAAGACTATCGGCATAATGAAAGTTGTTTTGTTAGATAGCAACAAATGACCAGGCTATGGTAGGAAAATAACACTTTTAATACTTTTTTGAGTTATTACAAATATTTGGTGAGTCGGTGGCTCAGTTGCTAGCGTCACGGACCTCGCGGGCCCAAGGCAGCGATGTCGAATGGGTTCGGATCCTGGTCACTGCCACCAAAATTTTAAAGTTTATCCGTACAGTTCACCTTTTTACTGTATCGGCTCACCCCTTGCTTTGCTGGATACGTTCCACGCACAGATCCGTAGTCCATGTGGACGGGCAAATTCTAGGTTAAAAGAGGTCGCCAACCTCTAAAAAAAAAATCTTGAATTGTTTTTGAATTCAAATAGACTTATTGTGATCAATGTCCAAATTAAAACAAGAAACATCTCTTTTGCTGACTAAAGCTCACAAGGCCTCACAATAACAGCCCTGCTTCATTGACGTGCTTTAGGTATGTCTGATCAATATTCGACTGAGTCGAGTTCTTCACCAGTCCAAAAGATAACAAATGAATTAGGTTTGTTCATCAAAAGAACATTTTATCCAGTGGTGGTTCTTGAACCTTATCAGGAGGCGGTATCTGGAGTGTTTCACTCCTCCCCAGAAAGAAGGATGGTCCAGGAGCCCTCCCCCGCAAAATTTGTTATTTTTAAAGCCGTTTGGTAGCTTTCTAAAACCATTTTTGAAGTCAAGAACTGTGTCAAAAAACATCTGTTATGTTTTTAGGACAAAATGTGTGTTTACACTGATTTTTCCAGTCAAATGGGGGTGGGGGATTTTCTCCTTGGAACTGCCACGGATTTTATCTTTTAGTCTTGGAGAACAGGCGGTTAAGACAGTGGTCTAGTGCCCAGCGAGCACTCTTAAAATCCTATATATTATTTGACTTCTGTGTTTCTTAAACAATGCTGAGTCTTCCGGCAATAAAAACATATGACATTACCCACTGGGGTGATGTTACTTGAATGTAATGACTGTTTCCTGAATTTGTAATCAGTAATCAGCTAAAGAAGTATTAAAAATAGAGTTTATTTTTTATACACATTTGTTCTGTTAATAATTGTGTTTAGGTGTTGTGTCGGTAAATCATCAGATTTGTCAAATAAGTGATCATAATAAACCATAGACAGAATCAAAAACATATCTCCAACAAAACTATGTCCCTTATCGTAAATAGTGTTTTTATGACATTTTCTATGGTGAACTCGTTCAGCTTACACTATTTTTTTCCTCGACCTTGGTTGTGTTCCCAATTCCATAAGATGGAAAATTTTAAAAGATTATATTGATGTAGTGCCACCTTATTGTTACATTCACCACCATATTTATATCACTTTTCTTCGACCATAGTCTTATAAAACAGGTACAGTATTAATCTGACTAAAAATGTTTGACTTGAAAACTCAACCTATAAAAATGAACCCATTTTTTCCCCTTAGCACATACAAATTGTTGACGAATAAGTTCCTCCATTACTACTTGAATTGTTGTTTTACAGTTCCTTGATTAGTTCCAATCGTGGGACGGAACCGATAGTTGCAATGGGTTAGAAGATTACTAAGCGTATCATAAATATTCTTATTTCCATAAAAATATGTATACCAAAGATAATTTTAGTTGTATTACTGGTTAGTGTATGTACCATTGCTCTAATATAAGAAAAATAAATAGAATGTATACTTTCATTCAATTTTATTTTTATTTTATGGCAATATCAACATATATTTTATTGTAAATCATTTAATCAAATTTATTTTGATATATTAATATATTTATGAACATAGAGTGTATACAATTGTACATAGTGTAATATATATCTAGACTAAAAAAATTGTTACCTGTGTGTTTTATCCAAAATACAAATGTAATATTGCTGATCATTGATTTCATTATAAAAAAAATCAAATCTTTTCATCAGTAGCAGAAAAAAAGCAGATGTCGAGGCAAAATAATACTGTAATAACGAGTAAGAATTGAAAGAGTTTGCAAACATTGTAGATCTGACCTGTAAAAGGTTGTTCTTGCTCGACATCACATTTGTTAGTAGTGGAATGACCTTTACTGGCTACCAAAGCAAAAATAGTCATGTCAGTTTTGAATGTGTTTGTAATGAGTTATAAACAATGTCAATAAAATCTTCCTGGATAGGCTTCCATGGTCACTTAATGTAGAATTGTGGTATTCTGGCAACGACCGTGTCAAAAACGACAAAACACTAACACTCACCAACGTTTCAGCCTCAATATAGAGTGCCATCCTTAGGACAACTTGACTCCGCACAGATGACAAGTTCCACTTGATTTTTTACATGTGGGGAGTCAAGTCGCCCTGAGGATGGCACTCTATATTGCGGTCAAAACACCGGTGAGTGTTAGTGTTTCGACGTTTTTGACACGGTTGTTGCCAGAAGAGCACAATTCTACATCTACAATGTCAATACAAATTTCATTCACAATATCCGTATATTTATATTAAATATAATTGAATAATCCAAATGAGAAAGCCAAATAATTGGCATTTAGGGGAGAGGGATCACCCAGCAGCCGAGAATAAGTAAGAAGTTGTAAACAAACAGAACAATGCTTCAAAATCAAACTATACAGAAAGTAAATAAAAATATGTGCTTTATATCACTTGAAGCATGTACGAGTACATTTACACTTATTTACACTATTTTAAAAAGACGGTAAATATCCTTAAAAGATGATATTGGTGATTGATTTCGACTGGATACTCCAACCGCCATCAGACCTAAATGGCAAATGATTCATAGAATTTTGTTGGTCAGCCATCACACCTAGTATTCTTAAGTGCCAAAAAGCAATCTATTAAAAGTAATTACTTTTAAGTTGGGCAGTATGTATAAATAATCTTGGGATTTTTTGAGGGAGTTTTAGCGAATTTCCCCATAGGGAAGTAGTTATTACCGTAGGTGGCACGGTAAGACCTAGGCCTGGGACTGATTTGCTTTTTCATTCATTAATTTTGCTCTTCAGACAGACTGGCAGGTGCTTGAGCATTAACCAGATGTTTCACGGTACCAAGGCGCCACTTTCCTTATCTCTCCATGGCTGCCCTCTATCCCGCGCCTACCCCTCTCCCGCGTCTTTCCCTCACCCGCGCACCACCCACATTTCCTACGGTCCCCTCTCGACGTTTAGCGCTCAACACTACGTTGTCTTTATTTATTGT